GAATCTCCAATTGTCGTTGTCCTCAGGTGTGTATCATCCTCGCTCAATCAGGTATTCAACCTGAGACCTCCATTTCTCCCCACGCTAAACTGGATCCCGCATATTATATCTACAGTGGCTCAATGGAACCGGCGTTTTACCGTGGCGACCTTCTTTTTCTTACGAACCCCCCAGGCCAACGCTACCATACGGGTGATATAACAGTATACAGGATCCCTGGCGCCGAAATACCCATCGTGCACCGCGTCCTGGAGACCCGGGATGTTTTCATCCCATTTGACAATTCTACGGAGAACCGCATCGTCAACAACAGGTGAGTATCTTCAGTATGCCGTACGTGGTTTGTTGCGGGGGTCAAGTCGATGAAATCCGATGACTAACTACAACTATACCCCGCCCCAGACTAGCCAAACTCAAACTACCTCCCGGGGAACATCAATTGATGCTCACAAAGGGCGACAACAATCATGTCGATGACATTGACCTCTACCGGGGCCTTGAATGGCTCGACCGAAGACATATCATTGGCAAAGTTCGCGGGTATGTGTTTTTCACATCATCACATTTTTTCCTTCCTGTTTCGAGGCACAACTTGCGCAGCGTGATACGTCTCTTTTCCTACTCAATCTTCTAATCACGCTTCTGCTTCACTCACACTTCATCCCCAGGTTTCTTCCGTACATCGGCTACGTGACGATCGCCATGGTAAGCATGCATATCTTGTTAATGCCCAATAATGCTGATCATACTACATAGAATGATTTCCCACAACTTAAATACGCACTTCTCGGAGGTCTTGGGCTCTTAGCTGTCATACAACGGGAGTAGAATTCCCTGAGGAGAGGGCCTATACGCAGCAGATTCGTGTTGCTTATTTCATGTATGGTGACCGCGCGCGCGCGAAATAGCAACAGTCACTTCGATTGGCGACGTTCAACATCATGATATCTGATTCCGCAAGGAGGTGACACTTCGAACACACGTCTCCCAGGTTAACGAATCTAACTCCAATATTGAAAGGTAAGTCACGACAGCACTTGGGAAATATTGGATGACGCGATGATATCACCAACGCAATTTGCAAGCTAAGTATCTAGGCAATGCGTCGCATGTATGAGTCTAGTTGAGATCTTCGGTAATCAATGCAACTCAAGACCACCAACATTCAGTGAGCGAAGGACTGCTCCACATTAACAGTCATCAATGAGGCCGGTCCCTGTGCAGAGCAGATACAACGTGTATCACTCGAATGCTGACAAGTTCGAAGGGGAATACAGATGACAAGAAGCTGAGTGTGCGGTATACTTTGTTCGATGACTTTGAATGAATGGATTCATTGAAAATATGAACTAGACATGCATATTTTTATATATATGGGAAACATAGGCGCTATGAAAGCACCAGTTGGCGTGAAGGAAAAGGAAAGGAACTACAAGGATCGCGATGAAAAATATCCTGATTATGATGAAAAAGAGTTTGAGGTGATCCACTTTCAGTGATCTATGGCCGAACAGGCAAGGAGGAGAGCTGTGAGGTAAAATGGGTATTTGGGGCGTGATTTATATAATGCTGTTAGTTGTCACCAAGTTTAATTAGGCTTACTCATTGGCCGAGTGATTACGCAGTAAATTGTACGTGTTTGTTTTGCTTTGTCGTCAGTCAATTCGACCTCTGTTCTGCCAACGAACGTGTTCAATTGTATGTATCTGCTGAGTGTAAACTTTTTCCTACCAATTTTCCCAATGATATTGGCTCAAACAAATCATAAGCGAGCCGTCCAGTCACCGTCATGAAGTATCTCGTGAGTGCTTTGACAAATCATCTGATGGGATGTGTAAACGGGAAGGGCACAATAGTCAGGGAAATGTAAGTTGAACCGTAAATAAGATATCCAGCTGACTTCAGTCCTACTAGGGAGATTGAATCATTGTCCGAGGGGAAATACGCTGATTGTCAAGACGGAAAATTATGATTAATCAAAGGTGAATGTGTACGTGATTGAAGCAAGGAGCGATTGCGTATGTAAAAGTGAGTGCCGTATGTACAAGAGTAACGTCAAGAGTCATATCGAATGACTCGAATCGTCGTTGATGGGTAAGTTGTTTTGTAAGGATACACAGCTCAGCGGCAGCTGAATGACAAGTCATTACCACAACACCCAGCCCTATCATGATGTTATAAGGACCTGCCGATCCAAATCCTTGGAATTCATACTAACCAATCCTCCTGCCAGTATCTCGAGCGCTATAAATGACTTCTGTTCATCCTCCCGTACTAGTGGTAAGTGACGTGCTTATGATACGTGTTTGCACCTCAGTTGAATTCCTTGCTATTAGGTTGGTGCTGGGCCAGTGGGTCTGGTAGCAGCGTTGACGCTCCTTCAAAACGGTATCCCGGTCCGCATCATCGATAAAGACCACCACCCCCGCATCGGACAGCGTGGTGTTGGAACATGGGTTTGTCGCACATCCACTTGTCACATCATCCCGTGATCTCATTGAATGCATGCTCTATGTAGCCACGCTCCCTCGAAGTCTACAACTTTCTGGACGTTTCAGAAGTCAATAGCCTGGGAAAATCACCCCCTCCCCTCCGTTCGTACAAGCCTGGGACGTTGGAACCTTTGAAAGACTCATCGATGGACCCGCATATGGAACCTAGTCCAGCAATACCATTCGTGCGTAACACCGTCGCTTAATCAAACCTCCATGCTGATTCCATCTTTTTTAGCATGGCCCTAAATTGATGGGTCAACAGCTCCTAGATGTGGTTCTGCGACGCCATCTAGAGAAATTTTCTTGTTCTGTTGAGATGGGCACCGAACTGTGCTCATTCGAACAGTGCGACGAGGGTGTCACTGCTATTCTAGCAAAGAACGGCATATCAGAGACTTTTGATACAAAGTGGATCATCGGCGCTGATGGTGCTAAAAGTGAGGCGCAGTTCAATCCGCCGGGATGAATGAGACTGAAGGTGGCTTTGCAGGCGTCGTGCGCAAGCAACTTGGACTCACATTTCTGGGTGAGACTAGAGACGATATCCGGATTGTGACTGGGGATATCCGTTTGACGGGCGTTGGCCTCGATAGAGTGGTACGTTTAGTTTCTACAAATTCGATGAAAAGCTATCCTAAACCAGTCTTGAAGCATTGGCACCGGTTTGGAAACTTTAATGAACGAGGGTATGTTCACTTGAGCCTTGGAGACGTGTATATTGACGACATGCAGCCTCTCATTGCGTGCAACAGATGAAATTGCCGAGGATGGCTGGCAATATTTCCTTTACGGCAGCGAACTAGATCTCACGAAGATAGCTGAGAGCGAAGAGCTTGTCTTTGAAACCATCGCGTTGTTAATACCAACGGAGATTACATTCGAAAAGGTGGTCTGGATGAGCGACTTCCGGTACGTTTTGTGAACCTGTCCGTGTTGATGCACGTTCATCGGTTTGTTCCAGGGCTAATATCCGGATGGTGAATAAGTTCAGCGAGGGTCGAGTGTTCGTTGCGGGTGGTATGTAGTTCTGTTTGAGATGTGTGTGGCTGTACTCATACATGTCGTCGTAGATGCTGCTCAGTATGTCTATCTTTGAGTGCCCTCTTTGTAAATTGCTGCTAACACATCCAAGTGTTCACAGCCCAACGGGCGGTCAGGTATGATTGATCTGATTGTTGCTGATTGTTGCTGATTTGTCTATGAACAGGGACTCAATTCAGGTGTACAAGATGCAGTGAGTCGGGTAGATGCAGCATATGTGTTATGACTGACTGCATCCTACACCAGTTCAATCTAGGATGGAAGCTTGCGCTCGTCCAGAAAGGGCTCGCCGACAAATCTCTTCTCGAGACATACAGCGCCGAACGTCTGCCTGTGATCTCCGAGATGCTCGAGGTGACCACCTCGATTCTCGACAAGGCAACAGCGTCTGGGGACCTATCGGCCGGACGAAGTCCCGTCCTTTACATGCTCGGCATCAACTGCCGATTCAGCATTATCGTACTCGATGAATTTGTTACTTCAGTTGAGAGGAAGCCTATCGGCGCATATGGTGTGCTTGATGAGGGGCATCTGGAAGCTGGGGATAGGGCGCCTGATGCGCCCAATATGTTGCAGGTGGGGGGCGCAGAGCTCAACACAACGACGCTTTTCGGTCTGTACAGACCTTGGTACCACACAATGCTTGTATTTGCGCCGAGCCTCGCTGATGCTACCTCGATCTTGGGTGCACTGGAGGTATATGACAAAAGTGTCGTACGATCGGCAGTCGTTCTGCCATCATCGGCATCAGTGACGCCTGTCGCATCTCCTGACCTCGTTCTTGTTGATCGGGAGGGCTATGCTTATTCGGCTTATCTCGTGGAAGCTGGCCAGACGAAAGTGTTTGTGATACGGCCGGATGGAGTGATTGGGGCGATAGTTCATGGTACAGAAGGTGTGAAGAAGTATTTCTCAAAAATATTTTTGGATGCGTAGTGGTCGGGATATTCGTTCATTACTTACAAATTTTACGAGCACAGCTCATTTCTGTATACCTCCGAGTCATGCAATGTAGTATCTCATATTTGTAACTGAAAACGACACTTGCATCAGTAAATTCGCAGATTCCTTAACCAGCTTTTCAGCCACTTGTCACGAAAATATTCAAAATGTTACTACTTATTTCAACTTATACACTTGTGCACAAGTGCCCACAAGTAATCACATGATTCACAAGCACCCAAAGTAAATAAGCAGCAAAAAGTCGAAGTACATTATACAAGTGAATTAAGTGAGGTAGAATTAACAATTAACAAACAAGTCGCGTGCTGGATCCGTTGCACCATTACGCTCTCATTCCACTGCGTCATCATGCAATGGTAGAGGTGTAGTCCATGTACTTGCTGGGGATGGCCTTAACTACCTCATCATCGACAAGAGGAACAGAGTAGGGACTTCATCATCAATGGCATTGATGGACGATGACACAGTGCACAGATGTAGGCAGGAGATGTTGTGGGGCAATTACAACACAATCTCGAAGGCATGGTGATCAGCGTATTTGTTAACATAAAATGAGCGGAAAATATCATAAGAATGAAAGTATTTCATGTCACTAGGAATGAAATTGGGACTGTAGACAGGGATTAGATGTGCTGCATGGTAGACTGTCTCAATATGAATAACAGTGAGGTTTGGGGTGCCATTGTCATGAACACTTGGATGGACTATCCACATGCCGGTATCCTTGTCGGGACAGTCATCAACCTTGTCAAACCAATGAACAAGGGCACACGGATACATGACCCAATTGAATCTGAAAGAAAAGAAACATTTAACTCTTGCAACCTCAAGCCCCTTCATCCCTTCAAGGTTTGGATTGGTATTGACAAATACACAATCATTGTGGGGATAGATGTTCCGCCAGAGTGGACACACATGGATCTGTTTACATTGCATGCTGCCCATGCCACTGGGATCACTGGGGGCATAGAATGTTGCAGCAGCAGAACTAAAGACATAAAGACTGCCATCATGTCGAGGGCAGCTAGCAGTAGGGACATCTTCAGGGTTGTGAGGATCGCCAGGGAAGAGTTGTGAGAACAAAAAGTAGTGGATGAGGCATTGCAGGGATGGTACATCAACTTCCTCTGCCAATGCTGCTACTGTCTGTCCTCGTGTCTGTTCTGTCAAACATGGTGGTGAGTATTGAGCCTTGAATGGTGGAGGAAAATTTTTAAAAACAAACACGCTAATTTGTCCAAGAAGATGTGAGGGTATGCAGAAGTATACTTGTGTAACAAAAAAAATTCAAAGACAAACACACTAATTTGTCCAAGAAGATGTGAAGGTATGCAGAATGGTGAGTATTGAGCCTTGAATGCTAGAGGAAAAATTTCAAAGACAAACACACTAATTTGTCCAAGAAGATGTGAAGGTATGCAGAAGTATACTTGCATAACATATGGATAAATAACATGGGATAGCACAGCAGTCTTTATTTGAAGGAAATTAATAAGGACCACATACAATGAGTCTTTGCAAGTTGTACAAGAGCGAGTACATCTGGGTCGTCAACAACGTCGCCATTGTCAATATTTTCTTCTAATTGTTGTGCGATAACAGGGACATCTGGTTCATCTTCAGGTCCATTAAGTATGTGAGAAGATAAGGTTAGATATAGAGAAACTCATGAAGACTGGCTACAGCTCTTCAATATACAGAACCAACGAGCATGCCTTGCACAGTGAAGTCCACGCGAGATGCTGCGAGTTTGTCAAGGTGCTAGTTGGTCAAAAGCATTTGACCAAGGGCATTGTTCCTGTTAGACCACCGCCAAGGATCCTTCACCACCTTAATATGCTTCGATTCTGTGATGGATGAGCATAATCCATTCAGGGCACCAAAGAGTCGGATCATGTCTGCATAATGGGTCATTGAATGCTGGCGGGGATATGAAAGTGAGCTTTCGTGCCCGTAGTTTTGAATATCTGGCGATAATGATGGAACCAAGTAAGCACATCTTGAAGTTGATTCAAATAGGCCTCAGTAATGATGTTGTGCAGCGCAATGTAACAAAATTCCAAGAGCGCACGAAATGCATGGACCATGTCTTGGGGTATGTGGCCTTTGATAACTGGAATAAAGACCTTCATAAGTGCTTTGGAATCGTTACCTGTCCATTGTTTGAAACCATGGCCATCAGGAAATTGCCGTAGGCCAGTGAATGGTGCTACAGCAGCAATTCTAAGTCATTGTTAGAGAATGGCATTGGATTAATGCATGAGGTCACATACCTATGATCTATGTCACTCATGATCTCATCTCCTTGTTTGGTCCCGTGTGTAAGTCTAAGGTACTCCACTACCCAATCCACAAGATGGTCCTTGAAAGCCCCTTTTATTAGCTGGTGGAGGAGATCAAATGATAGCAATTGATGGATATTGGCCTGGGGGAAGTCATCCGTGAATGGCTGCCCAAAATAATTAGTATATAAGACAAGAGCGAGCAACTGCACTCACGACAAGAACACTCATAATACCATATTCATGCCACATTGTATCCGAATCCATGTTTTCATGTATCAGCAGATCTGTATGCTCCTGAGAGCGGTACAAGCCACTGCTATCAAGGTCTGTTCAAATTGCAAGACATCTATAAGCATTGTCAGTAGATATTGATGCTCATTTCGAGTCAAAATACTCACTTTGTGCACCAATTTTTCATTGTATAGGATAACACCAATTGTTCCTCGTAGTCTGCTATGAAGGGTCCTAATCCATGTATAACACATCAAAAATGACCGTCTGCACAACATAGGACCTCATACTCAGTCATTGCAGGCTTCAGGCTTGTGAGAATTGCAGAGAGTGAGTGGTGAAACAGCTGGTGATGAAATATGTGGGACAACTCAGTTTTAGCATGTTCTCTAACAGCTGTACCACAACTCAGATGAATGATACAATCTTGAATGTCAATACATGTACTTTTGGGTACAGAGAGGAAACTGATGACAATGAGAGCATTGTGGTGAGCACACCACACATTGTTGTGCACATTGCCAATTGAGGCATACAGGGGGTAATATTCATTGTTGCCTGTACCCATGGAGACAGTAGTTTTGTCACTACTGAGGATGATTGGAACAAACATTGATCCATGTGTGCTTGGATCCTTTGATATCTCGTCCTGAGAGCATGTTAGTGATGAAGTTGTAAGGACATATGAAAGACATACAGCCTGTTGCTATGCCCAGTCTCCAGACATAAAATCTTTCCATCAGCATGTATTGTCCGATGCATCATACTCTTGAAATGGAACAAAGTCAATTTCACCTTTATATGTGGGGGTTGCTAGCATGTTATGCACCATCAGACGTGGGTCCCTGTACCAGACCTCATAATCTTTGTTCATCCATGGAGGGGTATCATGTTCAGGGTGTTCCCCCATGTATCAAACCAAGAGACATTGCCAGGGGACATTGCCAAGTTGTGTGGCATCGATTACCCTGTGCAAATCCTTATGATTGACAAATGGAGGGGAGCCGTTGTGTTCTAACAGTTGTGCAGCCATTAAGTCGAATAATTGGTTTGTAGCTGCGTTAGACATATGAGATTGTTTGAAAACAAATTCTGCTGTTGCAAATTCCATATCATTACAATATGGACTCCAATCAAGAGGAGACTTCGGTGGAGGAAGAGTTGATGGAGTTCCGGGTGGTAGAAACATGCCATCAGCTGTGCATGGTGTAAAGAGTTGATTCTTGGTGGGCTATACAAAAGGTGTTTACCTTAAGACTCCAAAGTGTGAGTGAGATGTTCGTCCCAAAGAGACTGCCTGTAGGATTATCTCTTGATATAAAAATGCAAGAGGTATCTTGTGAAGATCAAAGGAGAGAGAAGGAAAAGATACCTCAAGTACATTCAGAGTTCTGAAAAATTGACCAAAGTGTCTGATGAGTTGTCTGAGGTGTCTGGTTGAGGTCCAACGTCAAGAAACAAAGGTCCAAGGTTGCGTGAAGCTTCCAGTGAAACAACAAGGTTTCCGGTGAAGAATATGGTGGTTTTGTCGAAGTATAGAACTTGCATAGATTAACTAGTGAAGTCCATCGAAAGACTTGAGGAAATCAATGAGCAAAATGACAGCAGTCAGGCCAAACAATCATTCTGAATGAACAAACTGGTATGGTTGGGGAAGATCCTGACCAGGTACAACTGGATGGCATGCATGCATGTGCTGAGTGTGGCCTGAAGAGTTTCAAAACCAGCATAGACAGCCCAGAGACAGGCATGGAAACTGGAGGGCACAGTGGAGAGGCGTCGCCTCGACACATGGTGCAAGCAGATGATGGTGTGAATCTGTGCTACTGCCTGGGAAAATGCTACCTAAGTGTCCTCTCTACAGGGTCTGAGACCTCCTGAACCCTGAATCCCTAACTGAGAATGACTCCTAAGAAGTCCCTGAAGCCCAAACATCCTACTACAACAACAAGTAGGGTATTTTCCGGGTGTCATGTAGGTTGTGCTGGGTTGACAGAACACATGGAATACTTTGAAATCTAGTAAAATTTCTGTTAGACCCTGGCTGGCAATATTGGATAAATAATTACATGTGCTTTTGGTGCCGTTGAGACAAGAATGGGTGCTGCCCTGGAAAAGTTTGGGTGAAATGGACAGTTATGTCACCAGTCCACCAGAAAAATATTGGCGGAACTGACAGTTATGTCACTGAGGAAAGGTTCTGGTGAACATACTTCTGGTAAATGTAATTACACCACCGGAAAGGTTCTGGTAAACATTGATACTCACCACACTAGGTATTTCAATGTAATTGATTGGTGTGGATCATGTTGTTGAACACACCATTATTGTGCCGAAAAAGCACTGGTGAATATCATGCTCCAGGCACTTGCAAGTTAGATTAGTACATCAAGCTATGAAGTAGGGTCAATGAATTATTCAGAGTCAGCTTTCGACTTCAAATTTTGAAGAATGAAGCGAAACTCACCTTGAACTTTAGAACCCACCTCCTTCAGATCTCTTCATCCTCTAAAGTCCTCTATTAACACAATGTCTCAGCCTGATACAATTACAAAGCACATAGGAACTTGACCTAAGAATGCAACTCAGCATCCAGGACACATTTTGACCGAGGGTTATGGAAAGAGACGTACCGCTGCTCAAAAGGCCGCTGACAATAAGCATGAAAGAGAGGCAAAGGAGGCAAGTAAAAAAGCTCTGCAGGAAAGCTATCAATGTATTGCTACTTTGCAAGCACAGATGCAGGCTGACCAAGATGCTGCACGCTGTAGAAGAGGAATTGGTAGTATAGGTAATAGGGTGGTATGAGATGTACTCAAGTAGTCCTCAATAAGCGAGATGTGTGTTGACCCAAGGGGATTGCTACTGAGTATGTGGAGGGAAACACTGGACCGGGTGTTTGGTCAAGCCTGGTAAGGCATGCGATGATGAGTGAAGCGTGAGCAAGCAAAAGAAACATGAAGCGCTAATGGGCAATGACGAGTGATGATAAGCGACGATGAGCGACTTATAATAGGAGTGGGTGCTAAGCGGAAGTGATGTGCGCATGCAGGTGGTGGAGTGGAGCAACTCTTAATGAGTTGGAAAACAAACTGACAGAGTTTCTAGTAATGTATGGCAGCGGGCACTCATATTGTACTTAGATTCTTAAGGTTGATTGGTAGATACAAGGGAGAACTTAGACTTAGAGTCCAACAATGTGCGGTGTAGGTAAACAACTTTTGCTGGACACTACATGAAGTGAGTGTCTAGCAAAATATATTTGTTGTGGTCTAGCACAGCCTAGTCTGCTATACTTGCAGAACAAGTGCATTTGACCTGAGGGGTTAACTGCCGGTAGTAGAATAATTAGTTATGCGAAAAGGAAGATAGTCTGAAGTGTGGGAAACAAAGTCCGAAGGTATAATTACGAGTCCGATGTCAAAAAAGTGGGGTCCGATGTTTTTCGGGTTTCAGGTTAGTGGGTATTGTCAGATATCATCGGGTTAGCATCGGGTTAGGAAAAGAATGTCGGGGATAGCGAACAGCAGGTTACTGTCGGTGTTTTTGGAGTGTTTCTAATAAAGAATGGATGATATTTGCAGAATTCAGTGAAGAACTACAGATATCTAATGACCTCCTCCTACTCGGAGGTAGAAAGGTAAGATAAGTAAGAAGGAGGTATGCAAAATATATAGTGTCTATGTAGAATTTCAGAGTGCTATAGGCGAAAGTAGTAACACTAATTTTCGGGTCTGATGTCCTATGTAATAAGACATGTGGTACTGCGGACATGTAATAACACTTTCTACAATGTTAGTGATGTGAAAACTGATAACTGTGCACCTAGTGGGGATAGATACAATAGGACAGGACATAGGGAGAAAAAATGTGCGGGAAAATATCAGATCCGAAGTGGCCGATGCGTGGGAAAATCTGGCTTGCATCAGGTTTGCGTCGGGTTAGTGGATTAATGTCAGATTGAGTGGGTGAGTGTTGGATAACATTGGGAAGTGATTCTTGTGTGACAGGCTTTTGACATGATGTGTGAAATAGCTGAATATGAGCCCAGTGCTAGCTCAAGTGCTACAGTGGGCAAAAAGATAATCATTATACAGTTTAGGTGTGAGTATATATACTAAGTAATATTAAGCACTGTCAAGCGCTAAAGCGAACCGAGAAGCGAAGCAGATATAAGATAATATGTAATATAAGGGTCCATGACAAAAACATATGGAATATGGTCATAAGTGCCAGAGATATGTCAGAATAAATGGGAATATGATGGGAATACGCACCAACGAACCAAACAGACATGGAATGGATGGATGGAGGACATGCAACAGGACCAAGGATGCATGCCTGAAGCACTCATGCGTGCGAGCAGCTGATGAAGTGCTTGAGTGCACTGGGTGAGATATGAGTCGCACTATATTAGGAAGTGATTGAGACATTGGGAATTTAGATTCCTGCAAGCCTACAGAGATATTAGTCTCTACAGCATGCTAACACACCTAAGCCTAAGTGTCCTCATGCACACCCAGTGGGGAAGGCTGTGAATACCTTGAAGACCTCCAACTCGATCATGGATGGTGGACAGGTAGAGGTAGAAATTGTTGCTGATAAGCTGGTTGATACCGAAGGCCAGGGTGTAGGTAAAAAGTTAGCAGCTGGTGCTAACATCCAACATCCTGCAAGTGACAAGTTGGAGGTGCCAGTATCAACCACAACTAAGAAGAAAAGGGCCAACAAACAGGTGGTGAGAGATGCAGTCAAAGCCACTGGTGCTGTTATCGATGGATCAACTAAGGCATGTGATGGTGATGTTGATCAAAAGACATCTGATGTGTAAGCTTGTTTATCTCATGCAAAACTATGAGCCTCCTCCAGCTGACTGAAACCACTCTTTTTTTCTTCAATCTTGCTGGATATGATTATGGTCCTGCAAGTTCCAAAAAATATGCACTTGCTGGACATATCCTGGGGTGGGTGTTAGGGATTCTTGACATGCCTATCTCAAAGCCAGACTCCAAGGCGAACACTACTACTTGGTCTTCCATTCATCCACAGTCTACCACCATTTTCTCTAAGCTCACAAAGGGGAGCACTGTCAGCAGCAATGTCACACCTCCATCTATGCTTACTGGTGCTTCCAACTCTGAAGGCTTTGCAGGGTCTGAATTCTCCAATCTGTATGTATCCGATGAGGAAGACAATCTGCTCGCAATACCCCTTTCTCGTCTTACAAGCAAAAAGGCTTTCAAGGTGAGTCTGATCTTATCTGTATTTACATTCGATGTATTTTAGCCAAAGCTGCAGGGTATTGCAATTGTTTCCAAGGGTTTTGACAAGGTGGAGCCTTCAATTACCCATTGCAATGCACCCTTGGTACCTAAGCAGCCTGACATGATTGAGGATGCTGACAACGAGGATATCTTTGGTGACAAGGACATTTTTGCCGACATCCACGGCCATCTCATGAATATTGATGACTCCAACCCTACCATACAGCCCACTTTTCTGGAAGACTACAGTTTGGATGACAGTTTTGAGCTACAGGTCTTGGACAATGATGCTGACCTTGAACCTCCCTCCCTGGCTCAAAAACCTACATCCTGCTCCATCTTCCCAGACTTTGACTTGCCAGTTGCAAGTCAGAAGCGCAAACTATCACCTCTTAGGGACAATGACAACTTATTGACATCATCAGAAGTTGAAATTGTAGAGGGCACTAAGAACGAACCTACTGAGCCAGTGCCCATATGCCATTTGACGTCTGCAGTACACTTTTGTTTCTTAACAGTATATTTTACTGATTTGAATATGTTAGACTAATGTCACTGTGATGCTCAATGCACCCCCAGCAAAGTGGGTGAAGTCCAAGTCCTCTGGTATATGTATTCCTCCCATGTCATTGCTGCTCTATCCAGAGCAATCACACATTCTGCATACAGGAAGAAGCATCTTTCCTAGGGTTATCAGGATGGAAACAAGTGAGCAAGGGAGTTCATCCCCACCATCATTTGCTACATTGGTGATTGAGATGAAGTATGAACTCTTTCTGACAATATACTATGTCCCATCTTGCAGTCAATTTGGAATGTGGTCTACAAGACCATGACTTAACACATGGTTGAAGCTGATGGGGTGGTCATTGCTCTGGTATGTTTTTATTTCAGACACTATTTAATTCTAATCATTTTGTTTTTTATCAGACTCTTTAGCACTTGTCAGAATGGTGCAATACTATTAGCAATGTGGCCCTTGTCATACTCACAAACTTCATGACTTCACAGGGCGATCTCAAGACTGATCAGGACCACAAGGATTTTGCTTTGGCATTGCTTGAAAAGCTCAGTTTCTTGTTTGGGGACATTAGGGAAGACAGAGAGATGTCCAGTCCATCCCAATCTGATCTCATTATTCAGGTCCTCATGCAGCACAAATGTGCCATGTTCGGTGCTGTCAGCCTGTTGGGAATGAATAACACAGTGCTGGGACACTCAAAGAGTGCTCTTGGTCTTGCCGCAGCAGCAGTGTGTATCTTCTGTTCTCTCCTCATACAGCTG